TATCACATCTTTGCTCAGGCTCAGCTTGTCTAAAGTATTTTCTCTGAATTAGCTCTCCAACAGTCAAGAAAATGATTAACCCCCAGAGACCCACGGTTGTAATATTACAACATCAGATTTAAGTCCACAAAAATAAACCTTCCCCATTTTTTTTCTTTTTAAAACCACATTTACATTGCTAATAGGTCCTATTGTTCAGTTCTGCAACACTATTGGCTGTTAAAATGTGTAAATAGGCCCGTTTATCTGGCCTCCTAGAACAACATGTGAAAGGTTAAAAAAAGATTTTGCAGTTTTCTAAATTTGGGTTTCTGGGGGTTAAAAAGCTAAATAAAACGTCGAACTCCATTGTTTAAAGTTCCTTCTCCCTTCTGCCCAGCGGTTCCACGGTTGCTAGGCGACGGAACATTCGCCGAGGGAGTTCATGAAGGCTAGGCCTGTCCCAATTCACAGCCGTTAACATCCGGTCTACCCGGCCGACGGAGGACCCAGCCCACGTCGGCCGGGTGCGCTGGGTCCTTCGAAGGATGCAGACCCTGAATTGAGACACAGCCACAGTAGAGCAGTCCTAGTGGTTGTCGCTGCGGCCATGATCCATGATCTGTGTGTCCAGTCCAGTCGCATTTTTGTTTTTGTCTATGCGGGTTGCGCTATTATATGTCCAGTCCTTCCCCTGTAATCTGAATGGAGGGGGGGGGGGGGGGGGGGGGGGTAACATTCACGGACCATTTCACTGCCGTGAAAGTGGGGAAAGGGGTAATAGCTGGGCACTGATCGTGTCACCTCCGTGCTTCTTGCGGGGGGGGGGGAGCTGTGGCGCAGTGCCACGCCTGAGCCGATGTAGGGGTAACACAGATGTACTTTGTTTGAGCAGATTTTTTTTTGTATTGTTGAAATCTTAATGGTGAACCAACCTCAGTGTTTCACAGTGTGGTTAAAAGTCAAACCGGTTAATCATTGCAACCCTACATGGCTAGAGATCCAGCGCCCAAGCACTTCTTTCTTTTCGGTCTTTCTTATTGTTGGTTGAAAAGCTGTTCCTAAAAACAAGCTGTAAGTTGTGCCAGACGCTGATGCAGCAGTGAGAGTAAACAGCCAGATCTTTCTTCTTAGAGCTGTTTTCTCTTGAATCACCCCTAACTGTTCAGTTGTTTGATTGTGAAGAGAAATCCACACAGAGGCTCTCATGTGTCCACAAAACTGTTTGCTTTCATTCTTTACTCACATCTTTAGTGAGGATCATGTGGTCTTAAGAGTAAATCCTGTTTAAATAGAAAAGCTGCTGTGTATAGGGACAGTTCTTCAAGTGTTGACTGAGATCTAAAACAGTGATCGACACAGAAACACTAAAGTATTACCACACACTGCCGTGTTGTTAAAATCTGTCTTTTCTTTCACTAACCTTGTGTTTGATTTTACTTAAACATCATTCTTTCATATGCATCTTTAATTTATACATACATTCTCTAAAAACCCATTCTAAATACCATGTTGGGTCTGAAAGCAAGACAGAAAAGTCTGAGATCGGGGGGGGGGGCATTAGACCTCTAAACATTTTGTTTCAGGCAGGAAGACAGCTGATGTTGGTTTGAGTTCCCTCTTTCAGGAGTTTACTTCTGCTGTGTTTGAGCATCGCTTCAGGAGTGCTTTCATTATAGCCTATTACAGGGGGCTAATTTGTATTATTTATTATTTAAAGACAAGTAGAAGAAAGTAGGAAAAGTTTAGAATGACTTCTCTGGGTCAGGGATGAGGTCCTACCTCAAGTGGATCTCAGGGTCTTGCTCACCAGTGAGGGAAAGATGGCGCGCAAAATCGGCAGGTGAATTGGTGCTGCATCTGCAGCAGGGATGTACGTGGTTAACCGGTTAATTGCTGTTAATGTTGTAACCAGGTAAAATAGTTTTGCCCGGTTAAAGCTGCTTTCCGGAGTTTTACCCTTTCAGAAATTGTGTGATTTTTCAGAAACCCGTAAAAGGGATTATCTCATCATGTACTGTGATAAAATGTAAGCAAAAAGTTTTTTTTTAATTTTTTATTTTTTGCTAAGTACGCCCCTGCCCGCAGAACTCCGTGCAATAGGAAACTGAGCGCCGACCAGAACTAACCAATAGCGTTAGACCACCACTTGCTTCAAATTTAAGGAATACCTCGGCTGATGCTGAGTTGCTGAACTTTTCACGGACAAGTAAGTCTCTCATTAAGCACATTTCTAAACAGAAACGTGAAGTCGCGATCTTAAACAGAGGAATAGACTTGTTGTGTGATATGCTTGTCAGCCACTAGATGGTGCCATTGGATAAGCGAAATATTCCGGAAAGAAGCTTTAACAGCTTCAAGTTGTCCTGCTGTGCTGGGAGCAATATATTTTGTGCCACTAGAGGACGCAAGAGCACTGCTATCAAAGTATGTTTACTGGGCCACCGCAGAAGAAGAAATGAGCTTGTCACATGACCAAACAAATGTGCTCAAACATGAAGAGGTTAGCAACGAGCCAGCGTTGGAGCAGTTTAATCTTAGTTATTTCATTCTTGGAACACAATAAGGCTGCGTTCACACTGCGGGCCTTGATGCTATAGTCCGACTTTTGAGTAAATCAGAATTTTTTGTGTTGCTGTTCACACTACGACTATATGACTTAACCGAGTTTATCTCCTTGACTACATTTAAAGTCAGACTAAGAACCCTTGAGGCAGATTTCCTGTGTTGTAACTGGCTCCTGTGATGTTGTGCATATCTGTGAAGCTGAAACATTTGTGACTGTAACTACCAGAGGTGCAAGGAGTATTAAAAACACAACTGTTAGGAGGGACAAGTTCTGAGAAAGGCACGGTCTCACCTCTTTGGACCAACGTCTCGCACAGAAGCATAAAATCCAGTTGATGAGTCTTGAAGAAATCATTCAGTAAACCGTCTTGTTTGCCAGTGATCTTGAATTTTGTCAGGCCATCAAAGAAGAATCTTCATTTAAGGCCCCACGCTGAGGCAGAGAGCGGAGGTTTGTAAAATCCACGCCACTTCTACCATGACGTGGCCACCTGGACCGGTAAGTTTCAGTCAGCTTATTCGATGAGCCGCCATCTCCAGGAATAATGAGCCTGAGCCATCGGCGAATTAAATCCAAAGGACCCGAGGTTCCGCCAGTAGCTTGCTGAGTGGTTCGGACTCTAACATGCACACCAGAGCGCCTTCCTCGTTTCTGAGGCCTCTTTCAGGGGTGGCCTGGGACTAGATGCTGCAAGGTGGGAGCGGCCAATAGGACAGGTGGAGGAGGAAAGTTTGAAGACTGTCCTCCCGTTGAAAGACCACTCCAATATAATTCAAAAGACTCCTTAATCTTAAAAAGTGACTGGCGATCATAAGCAAGAAGACCAGATACATTCCAAAAGAGCACAAATAAAACATAATAATAAGAAAAAGCTCAGTGCTGAGACGAGTCGCCGTGCACTCTGCTGGTGCCACCATTTTTCCGAAGGAAGGAGCGTAGATCGAGGGGTAAATCAAGAGCCTTTGACCTCAGCTCTCTCTTCATCACAAGAGACAGGTTACCTGTCACAGGTACAATGCCAGCATCGCAGCACCAACCGCCCAATCGAAACATGATCATCTAGACTCGGTTTAGTCATTCTTTCACCTAACATGCACTTTTGTAGGACCTGGCAGAAAGCCGTGGTACCTGAAAAAAATCAGACATATGAAGAAAAATCTGTCCTTTTTCTGGCTTCCTCCTCTTTGTTCTGACTTAAATGGTGAAGCACTGGTCACTAGGGATCTCGCCAGTCCTCCCAGTATGGATCCGTTTTTCTCATGGATCTTTCTTGAGGAGACGAGGCTGCTGTCCCAGCCTGACACACTTTCAGACTTTTCTGATTATACAGCAACGGTTTTCGAAGAAACCCAGGCTAACTGAGGATTCACGTTCTAATTCATTCCTCAACACCACGATTCAAATGTATTTTAAAGGTGAGTGGGTGTCATGAACCCTTTCATGTGAAAACCTTTGGAAGGCTTCAGTGAAAATTCTCAGCAGTCCTTTTGACATCGAAGCAGCGAAGCGTTTGATAATGAGGCTGAAGATGGATTTCTGTTGGCTGCAGGCTCATGATGTTAAAAAGTAAAAGATAACTGAGGGAAGTCTGTGGTTCTGAATCACTTTCACCTCATGGATCCACATTTAGAGCAGCAGTGCCATCTTCTGAAGAATGCACTCAAGAGTCCTTGTTGTACAGCAGTACTGGACCATATCTTTTGTTTTCAGGTCGTTCCAACTTCCAGATCGGGCTCCGATTCAGACTGAAGGGATTCCTCTCCTCAAAGTTTGTTTAGGCCAGGTTTGCAATGCTCAGCAGAACCAGACTTAAATTCTTCATATCCGTTTTCTGGGTCAGTGTTGAGATCAGTTCTGACAGACCAATCCACTTTTATTTCTATATCTCCTCCTACACAACTCTGTCAAACAAAGTGCTGTGTAGTCAAAAATAAACAATAAATAAAACGCGTCACAACTTAAAACACACGGATGAATGTAGGAGGAACTCCAGTATCAGGTGGGCAAACAGAAATACCTTCACTTGACCCGTTTGATTCTTTATGATTCTGTTGTACAAAGAAGATGTTGTAAATATTTGCTAAAAGCTTCTTTTAGTTTTTTTCATTTTTTAGATACATTTTATTTTGTATTATATATTTTCTATGTTTCTATCGTGTTTAAGAAGCATCTTGTGATTTTTATCGTAAATGTTATTGAAACCCAACGTCCTTCCTTTAGTGATGAATCTGAGTTAAAGCCTGATGCTGCTTCTCATCTCTAAACTAACTGATCTCAACACATCCATGTGTTTCATCTAGAAAAGTGTTGTTCTTCATTGTTCTATTATATTTTTAGTGTGATTTCTTGTATTTGATTGCCTTGTTTGGGTAAATTGTAAATCATTTTTGTCAGCTGTGTTGTGTTAAACATTTTCTCGTTCCTGACAAGGATGGTCCATTTGTCTCACCAGATCGGGGCTTTCCTGAGGATCTACAACCTGCGAGCAGTCTGTGAGTCGGTTAAAGAGCCCGGCCTCCTCAGAATGGATACGGATCACCTGGTTTTTCAACTCAACGGGGGAACGTCGTTCGGCAAAGGCATCCGGGTCCTACCAGAAAGCAGCCCTGATGTGCAGAAGCTAAAGAGGTTTGGCAGCTAAACGAGAGCCAAATATCTGGAAGTTCTGAGAATCACACTGTTGTCTGGTTTCTGATCCAGAATAGAACCAACAAGCTAAAATGAGCGTGTCTAGTTGGACTGTTTTATAGCTCATGTAGACACCAACAACTTCATTCTTTTCACTCATTCATCTAATAGCTGTTAGAAAAAACCTGAGCAAATGTCATAACTGATTCAAGTTCATGAGGGAAAAAGCCGCTGAAGTCAGAACCTTTTGGTACCTCCCACTAACGTTTGGTTCTGGGGCGCCTCTCATTTTGGGTCAGATGAAAGACGTTTCTGATGTACAGATGATGTCCAACTGCTCCTTTAAAGACAGTTTCCTGAGTTGTCTTTTGCTTTGTTAGTTTGAGACCAAACACTGGTTAAATACTAACGCTGTCCAACACAGAGACCATAGCTATGGCTCCAAAACACAAGATCGTACTAACCCCGGTTCTATCCAGCTGAGTCTCTGTAACCTCGGTGTTGTCTGATTCTGGAATGTCCCTGATGTCTCTGTCTTCTTTGTTTTGCTTTTTAGATCTTTTGAGTCTTTCTCAGAGGATGAACCAAGTGACTCTGAGATGTTGGAGATCTGGAGCACTCCACCAGAGTTTTTGAGTAAGAAAACCCTTTTCTTGTCCGTCTCTTTCTGCTGTTCTGTCCTGGATGTCCTCCAAAGACACAAACGTTTAGAGATTGGACATTCAAGGGCTGCTTTAGGGGTTTAAATCTTTTTATCAGGGGTTTATTTGCCTCCTGGGCTGGATCGACCCAACTTTTATCATTACTTCTTAATCAACAGGCGCCAATATTTACCAAGATGGTTTCAGCATAACCCGCTAGACGAGTCCTGGTTAGATGTAGAACAGACTGCAATGAGATGGAGCTTTTGGACCTACCATTCATTAGCTCAAGCACAAGGAGACGTGAAAGCTTTCAAAGCATGTCTCTGACAGCATGGTGGGAGTATCTTCACTAACACCATGCAGACGCAGCCATCTGGGAAAACCCGGACATTTTACCAAACAATAAAATTATTAACCTTCCATACTGGAAGTGTGAAGGAATCCTATACCTGGAGCACATATTTGTATGTTATTAATATTATTATTATTATTATTATTATTACACAGGTCATCGGATGTTCAGGATGGGGTTTTTGCTGTCTGATATCTGTGCACACTGACAGTTCTGTTCACGCACTATGATCCTGTCCACCTGTTCAGGGATCCTGGTGTAGAGAAGGGCTGCAACTAACGACTATTTTAATAGTCGACTAGTCACTGACTATTGAAACGATTAGTCGACTAGTCGGATAATTATTACATTTTTCTTAAATTTAGCATGAGATTGCTTTAATTATGTGAAAAATGATAATAAACACAAGAAAGATGGGTACTTCAATGGAACATGCATGTTTTATTGAACTTTGCTGCTGATAGGCTAATTCGTACTAACAGTAAATAAAAATGCCCTGTCTGACACCAATTAGGCACAGTGCTCAGTCAGTACAGACATAAATGCATAAATAAAATTAAAATACTTTTGTCAAGCACAGTCAGGCATAACATTAAATATCTCTTTTTAAAATGCAAAAATACGTTTAAAAAAATGTACATCCAAAACTAAACGTATTGGCTTTCGTGTTATTTAAATCTTACCGAGGTGAGTCAGACTCTGTTTCATCCAACTGTCCGACGTGCTTTCTCTTTAAGTGTTCATGCATCACTGAGGTGCTGCCGTGATAAGCGAGGACTGCTTTGCAAATAATGCAGGTCATCTTTTTATCCGCCACATCCAGGCTAGAATGCTCCCAAACTTTAGGTGTTTTGGTACGAGTAGCTGCTGTGTCGGACGCCGCCATTTCTGTTAGTTGGTGCTCAGCAGAGAAGCTATTGCGCATGTGCGACTCCCGGCAGGGAGTGTAATGAAGTGAGATGCAGAGGTGTGACATTGTGGCATAGTCTTGGTACTACGTTCATTTGTACCGCTTATTTTACTAGCAAAAGCAAAGGGGTAGGTGGACCATCTCTCCTGATCCTTTCGTAAGTTATCATTTACTTGGTTATAATTAGCCACATATAATAATTCAGTTTTTTTAGTTAAATTAATCCCCAAGTATTTTATTACTTTTGTTTTCTAATTTATATTTAATCTATTTCTAATTTCCTCTCCTGGTGTATAGTTGAAGTGGATAATTTGTTATGATTGATGTCTTGCTTGAGCGTGTCAGTCTCTTCCTTCATGGTTTTATTTGAATGAGCCCAGGTCGGACTTCAATTCGGTTCTTAAGTCGGTGATTTGTTGGCTTAGTAATTGTAGTTGTTCAAGCAAAGTACCAGCAGTAGACGCTTGTTCACCGCCGCCATTGTCCTTCTCCTTGTCGTCGTGCTCTTCGTCCCGTGCTTGATATATCTGTAAATGCTTCTCTACCCTCCGGAGCTCAAGCTCAATCAGCCATCCCGTGTCGCTGCCAACTCACAAGTCTCACTGGATGTTGTCTTTATGTTTCAGATGACGGTGCAGTGGAGACCCGCACAGGTAACACACACACACACACACACACACACACACACACAGCACCATACAGAGTTAGGTTCCAGTTCAGTCCAGATGACACGTCTCTGAGTAGAGACTTGGACAAATGAGTCTGTCCCCTTGTGACTCATTAAAACAATGATTGGTGTGTTACATAGAGGCTCAAAGAGCACACCTTTCTGATCATGCCACCTTCACTGGTTTGATTATATTTATTAAATGAAATCTAGTTGTGGTTAAATGTGGTCATCTAAATGACTGATGGTAAATATGGAGGGATGCAACTTTACTTTGTGATATTTCTTTATACGTTGTGTGTTCTGAATGATGTCAGAGAGAAGCTGCAGCCACCAGATTCAGCCGATGACTCTGTCCCAGCTGAAGCAGAGCCAGCCTGAAGGAGAGTACCACGTCAGGGCCCAGCTGAGATCCTACCAGCCTCACAGGCTCCATCAGTCCCTCAAACTCTTCTGCAGCAACTGTTCATCCATGTGAGCAACATGCCACTAAATTCTAATGCAGTATTCAGCCTGGATCTGGAAAGGTGTCTGGATGAAAGATTTCCTCTGGTCTTAGGCAGGAAATCCCAAATGAGGAAGTGCTGTCGGGAATTTTCTCAGCAGCATTCCAGGACTCCACGCCCTGCAGACATCCACCATGGATTTTATCTGGACATGTGTCCCTGCCCGAAGATGTAGCGCAGTCCCCAAAGAAATCAATGGATGTCCTTGCGTCCAGTCGGCTACTGAAGAAGGAAAACCCCAAAGAGTTCATATTCCTCCAAGGTGTTTAAGATAACAGCTCACTAATGTTATGAATCCATCTACTTTCATCACACACTCACACACACACACACACATCTCAAGTCTTCCTGCTACCTTCGCAGGATTCTCTCTGGAGGAGACATGCATGCTAGCAGCCCACTACGAGAACATTGTTCCTCTCACGTCGTCTGGAGGAGACTTGGACCTGCTCGACCTGTCGGCACCTTTCCTGTTCAGAGGCAAAAAGAGATACTACGGGTCAGAAAGTCACTTCTAGTTCTGAATTATTCATGTGTGTCATTCAGCAGCTCGTGGAGACTCCAGACGCTGTGCTGCTTTAAACTGTACATCCGTAGATCTAAGACCGTACTTTGGTCTGGATCCAGCCTGAGGTCCACGGTCTGCTGACCTGGGGTCCAGAACACATCACTCCTGATGTCAGTCGTTGTTGATCCTGTCTTAAATCAGGAGAGGATGATGAGGAAACCAAATCAAATCACTGCGTCCCTGTTGGATCTCAGGAGTGATCCCAGACACGTTGTTTTACTACATCAGTGTTTTTTATTCCGGTACCGAGAGGACTGAAGCAACAAATTCCTGTTTTAGTTTGTTCTGCCGTGGGAAAACCACACATTAGCTGTGCATGGGCCATCAGACCAGCAGAACCGGGATCTCAGGTGTGTGTCTCTGTGTTTCAGGTGTAAGCGATGCTCTGAGGCTTCTCTGAGGAACATGAAAGCTGTGGGAGCGGTGGTCGATGAAAAGTTTCTCGCAGAAGGTGAGACTTTTAACATAAATAATTTTATCATGAGTGTTTTATTAGTTCTTATATTTGCTTATCTCTTAATTAATTTTTTTCTATCTTACCTTCTGCACCAAAATACCGCAGCAATTTCCTAATGTTGTGACTTGTCACACATATGGCAATAAAAACTTCTGACTCTGATTCTGATTCTGACAGGTCACACTCGGGGAGAAAACAGGAAGTAAAATGTTGTAATTTGCTGCAAAAGCTAAAAATATCTATTCCAGTCGTCTAAGACTGTTTCCAACAAAGTTCTAGTCAGCACTGAGGGGCTGAAGAAACGATAAAAGCCTGAGGGTCCTTGTCACGTTTGGTGTTTTCTGTTCCTCTGCATGAACTCGGTCCAGTCGCTTCCTGGTTGCAGGTCAGCGGTGGTTTTCTAACCACAGCTGCAGACTTTAAACGACTCGAGGCTTGTTTTAACGATGGGGCCTTCTAAAGCCTTTATGAAGATGTTGAGCTCCACGTGTTTACCCATAAATCTGAGTCTGAAGTGCTTGATGACGCTGATGCTAACACACATTTGACCCAGTCAGCCTCTCGTTTCTTCATTTGGACCTGTGTGAGTGAACAGCGGGACAGCCTCTCTGTGTAAACTCCACCAGTGGACCGAGTCCTGACGCTGGACATAAACACCACAGCATCTCTCTTCAAAATAAAAGGACAGCAGACGTTGATTTCAAAATAAAAGCCATGTTCTTGTGTTTTTGTGTGGAGATATTTATTAATCCTTCCACCCCGTGTGGGTCAGATGTTGTGACCGTCAGGTCCTTCCTGTTCCAGACTACCGAACGAGGCTGATCTCAGGTCTGTTTTAGACACAATGATCTGGGTAATCTCTCTGGTTCTGCAGATCTAGGCATCCAGCTGCTGCAGTACGTCCTCCTGATGAGGCTGAAGCTGCAGGACTCCACCGACACGCTGGACGTGTTCCTGTGGAAGGATGCGGTGAGCTCTCCTGCACAGTCAGTAATGGGGGGGATCATTTTTGGCCTGTTTCATTTGAGCCAAGTTTGGATATTCAAAACAAAACTAGTGAGGATCACGTGTATGACCCTCAGTCTTGTACTATGGTGCAAGTGCACACCAGATCATGGTTTCTGGTCTGGATTCAGCACCCCAAAGTGAAGTAGTTCTCTGTTATTTATTAAAGATCAACAACAGTATAGGTGATGTAACCACTCCGGTCTGTTGGAAGGAACCTGTCAGCTGTAGCCTGATGCTAGGGAGGGCTCAGAAACTCAGCGAGGTAGTTCTGACTCGACTTGCTTTGGATCTTCCTTCAGGAGAAGTTCTTTGGTGTGTCAGCAGAGGACGTGTCTGCCACTGAGGAGGCTCAGGAGAGGGTCCAGAAGGTCATGGACTTGCTCTGTCCACCAGAGGACAGCCAGGGTGCGTCAGTCAGACCCGCTGAAACCTGAGCTTTTATTATTAGAATACTGGAATAATCGTGTTTTAATCATTAGGATGAGGTTCATCAGGCCTGCTGACTGTCTCAGGTTTGTAACAAGAGTTGTTCTTTTAGATCAGCGCCCATGGCTGGACCTGTGCCTGATGGCGTACGCAGTAGAGGATGAACCGGGTCAGAGTCAGACCTGCTACCAGATCATCAACACAACCATCATCACACCCTCCACCACTCAGTCAGGCCCGGACTAGAGCTGGATACCCAGGTCCTGCTGAGTCGTTATTCATGAAGATCAGATGGTTCTGATGTTTTTGAACCTGGTGGTTCTACTGACTCTGTGCATGAACAGCCTGTGTAGAGCTTGTTGTTTCTGTGTGAGAAATAAAGAATGAGTGAAGCTGCAGCTGGGTGAAAACGACTGAATCTGTCTCAGAATGAAGAGGTCTGATGTGTCCTCTTCATCACACACACACACACACACACTCTCTCTCTCTCTCTCTCACACACACACCCTCTCTCTCTCTCACACACACACACACCCTCTCTTTCACACACACACCCTCACACTTACACACACACGCACACTACTATATTATTTTGGATAATTAAATAAATGGTTGCTAATATTGAGTGTGTGTGTGTTCTGTTGGTCTGAATAAAGAAGAAAATGTTGGTAATTATGTTTAATTATATTCTACATGGTTAAACTTAGGGCTGCACAGTGGAGCAGTGGGTTGTGCTGTTGTCTTGCAGCAAGGAAGTCCTGGGTTCACATTAAAAGATTCAAAGTCATTTATTGTCATGTTCTCCACATGTGCAGGACATACAGAGAAATGAAATTCAGTTTCAGCACACACATCCCAGCCTGCAAAGAGTTAGCATGTTCTCCCTGTGCACGTGTGGATTCTCTACGAGTACTTCTTCCTACTGTCCAAAAATATGACTGATTGTTTGGCCTCTCGAAGATGATGGATGGTTAAACTTAGTTCTATGAGTACGTCCTTATGGAAACGGCCAGCTGCTACAGGCCGGTAGCCCTGACAGCAGAGGCTTCTGCAGTAACGGTCTCTAACAAGGATACTGCAGTTGAACACCAGTTTGTTCCGGGGGATTGGCCGATGTTTGTTTGATATGCACAAAGCTGCCGGAGGGGTCTGAGTGACTTCATTCAATTTAATTCAAGTTTATTTATCTATAGCCCCAAATCACGACCAGCTGTGAAAATCTTACTTAGTTTCCCTTTTAAAGGCCTTGCTGAGTTATCTTAATCTGAGTAGGCTGGCGCTGCACGGGATTTGTGAAGGAGGTGAATTCAGTTTTAGTGTTTATTTACTCACCACCTCCTTATGAATCTGCTGTTGGCATTCCCACAGAGGGACGATAAAGGTTCAATCTGTCGGTGGACTTATTATCTCTTGGGGTTTGTTTATCTTTTGAAAAGCATTGCTAGATAACTTTCCAGTTTTTAAGATGCGTGACTCTCCTAGACTTGGTGTAGTACACAAACTGACCACTAGATGTCTCGCGAGACATGGCACTAAAATGTCAGGCTTTTGAGAAAAACACACGTTTATTAACCGGAAGTTCTAATAAACCTGCTTGTGACGCACAGTTGAGGCATGTCTGCACTCAACCAGGTCTGGTAAACTTAACTCTCTTCTTTTGTTTTTATTTATCTTTTACTTTTTCGGTTTCTGTGAGACAAGATGTTGTTACAGCCAGGCTTTATTACTCTGAGCCTCCAGTTTTGTGTTACACACACACACACTCGATACGTACAGTGTACTAGATAAGAGACCGTTTGACAGATCCCCCCCCCCCCCCCCCCCCCCTCTCTCTCTCTCTCCCTCTCCCCCCTCAGACGCTCTCTCCTTGTCTCACTGAGCTCATCCCGGGTCCCACAGAACAGTCCGAACGCGGACCATCACCTCTTGGACAGCCAGGTCCAACCAAGGGTGGATCTGTTTGACCTCGTAAGGCATTAGGACGAAAGAAATCCCCGCTAAGATTTCAAAGTTCGGTTTAATCCGAGCCGGAAATGGGTCGGTTCCCGGTCTAGACGGAACCACGATGCTGCCTCAGCAGCTGCTCTGGTTGCTGCTGAGTAGCCAAGTTGTCTCCAGTCCGCTGCAGAGACGGGAGGCAAACGGCGCTCCGGGCCCTCATCAGGAATTCGCCCCCGTCTTGGAGAGTGCGCACAGCCGGAGATGGCGCAGTTGGCACCACGGTCTGGGTGCGCGAGATCCCGGTGCGCGCGACTTGTGGCGTGATGCTGAGATCCCGGGTCGACTAGAGCTGCTGAGGTTTGGGGGGTCCCAGGTGTCTGTGCGTAAAAGTGACTCCTTTAATGGAACGAGGCGCATCCGGCCCGTTCGAGGATATTTACGCACGGAAAGTTTGACAGATGAGACTGGAAATGGCGGATATAGTCCGGAAGGATACCCGAGACTAACTCCGCATGGACTAGAACCCACGGTGAGCCATAGTGGTGAACACAAGCTGAGGTTCGAGCGGGATACGAAACCCGTCCTAACGCGGCGGAGCGAGGCACTCCCCGCTGCCCTAGCGCAGGAGCAGGAGACCGGATTCCCTCGGGTGTTTAACACCAGTGACTATGAGGAGGAGCAGTACCCTCTACCGCACATCCCCGACACCACGCCGCTCGTGCCCGTGAACCCGCGGACCAGACGCAGGCAGGTGAAGAACCCGTTCTACCCGCTGGGCGCGGAGGCGTACGGCGCCTACGCGGTGATGGTGGTGTCCGCCCTCATCTTCGGCGTGGGGATCATCGGGAACGTGTCGCTCATGTGCATCGTGTGTCACAACTACTACATGAGGAGCATCTCCAACTCTCTACTGGCCAATCTGGCGCTCTGGGACTTCCTCGTGGTCTTCTTCTGCCTGCCGCTCGTGGTGTTTCACGAGCTGACCAAGAGCTGGCTGCTGGGAGAGTTCTCCTGCAGGATCATTCCCTACCTGGAGGTAAGAGGACGAGGTCAGCCGGGTGCAGTAGCAGCACCACAGCAGTTCCTTCAGATAGAAGAATTAGAAAAGAAACCATCTGCCAAGATGAGCAGAAGGTGGTGGTGTCCCCTGAATGAAGCACCCTGACCAAACTGCAGATCCTGTTGTGTTCTGGTGCTTCTGATGTGCTGCAGAAACATCAGACAAAGACATGAGGTGTTCTGTAGGTAGAAATCTACCAGTGGATCACGACTGATGACCAGTTAACAGTTCTGGAATATTTATGCAGCAGCAACATGAAACGCATGGAGTTTTGTGTTTGCTCCACCAACTCAGAAGTTTCAGAACCAACACTAGACCTGCTGGTCCAGATCTTTGCTGATGAACCCCATTATTTATCCTGTGTGTGTGTGTGTGTGTGTGTGTGTGTGTGTGTGTGTGTGTGTGTGTGTGTGTGTGTGTGTGTGTGTGTGTGTGTGTGTGTGTGTGTGTGTGTGTGTGTGTGTGTGTGTCCGGGTTTCTCTACATCGGGTTTAATATCTCTGAATGAGGTAAAAGCTTGTTAATCTGATTAGTGTCACATCATGTTGCTTAAACCTCCTGAATGTGTTACAACCTGCTCTCCCATCAGATTGAGGGGTTGAGGGGTGGGATTAAGCCATCTCAGATTAGACCCCCACCCCCTCTGAATGGTGGATCATCAGCATCACTAAACAAGCAGCTCTTTTAAAATCAACTTTCATCCTCTAGAAAACCTTTGATTTCTTGTGTTACTTGAGAGTTTTTGTTTTCCTCTCTGTCGTCTGTTTGGGACGAGATTGTTACAAGAGAATGTGCAGAGCTGGCTGGGTCTACAGGACTAACACAAACAGGTTTAGCTCAGGGAGACTGACAGAACAACGTAGCCTGAGATAAACAAACATGATGGTATGTTAATCTTCTGACTTACTCAAAGGTGCCATGGGCGTTTTTGGAAAACGCTGTTCAAGGAAGCATTTGGACACGTTAACATCTGCCATCAGTCCTAACACAACACTCCTGTAACAATCAGCATGTTAGCCAGCTAGCTAGCTAGATAACTTTATATATAAAGCACTTTAACAACAGCCCGAACTGACCAAAGTGCTGGACACACATGCAACCAAGAAATTACTCAGTAAAAACGGAAGAAGTACAAAGATAATAAAAAAGACAGCTCGGCAGGTCAAAGCTTTTAGAACCCGACCAGAACTTCAGCACAGGTTAGAGTTGGCAGAACGAAGGCAAAACACTGGTGATCTAGGAATCTACATCGTCATAATTTTTAGCTTTGTCCCAACCCCCGCTTATCGACTGTACAGTTAGAGAAATTGGATGTTTTTCTGGGTATCTACATGTGTTCCAACTGTTTATTTCATTTGTAATCTACGTTGACCTGACTGTAAGCTTTTTATTGTCTGTTGGTTCCAGCATCAGTCACTGGCTCGTTTCTGCCACCTGCTGAAGTAACGCAGTAACTGCAGTTTACCTAAGATGCAAACTTGGGTTCTTTAGACTGCATAATCTCAAATTCAAAGATACTTTATTAATCCCAGAGGGAAATTAGAGAATATGAAACAATTTGCACTGTCTTCCCATTTTTTTGTAGGAGAACCATGAATCTGTTTCCACAATGAATGTTGGACCGTGCTGTCTGTCATGTTTAAGGACCACTGTTATGATTCTAAAACTTGTTTACCTTACGTGTCTTTTTTTTCTCCCAGGTGGCATCTCTTGGGGTGACAACATTCACTCTGTGCGCTCTGTGCATTGATCGTTTTCGTGCAGCCACCAATGTGAAGCTATACTACGAGATGATTGAGAACTGGGTATCCACCACAGCAAAGCTTGCGGTCATCTGGGTCGGTGCTCTTCTGCTGGCTTTGCCTGAACTGCTGATCCAACAGCTGGTCACTGAAGACAGCGACTCGCCTGATGTGTCGCCCTGCGAACGCTGCACGGTTCGAATCTCCACCGAGTTACCTGACACACTTTATGTCCTGGGGCTAACCTATGATGGTGCACGCCTCTGGTGGTACTTTGGTTGTTATTTCTGCTTACCCACGCTGTTCACCATCTGCAGCTCGCTGGCCACGGCGAGCAAGATACGTCACGCTGAGCGGGCATGCGTACGAGGAAGCAAGAAGCAAATCCAGCTGGAAAGCCAGATGAACTGTGCTGTGGTGGCTTTGGCCATCCTCTATGGCTTCTGCATCATCCCAGAGAACATCTGCAACATCATCAGTGCATACATGGCGGCCAGCGTTCCAAGGAGAACTCTGGACATCCTGCATCTGGTCAGCCAGATGCTGCTCTTCTGCAAGTCTGCACTGACCCCAGTGCTGCTGTTCTGCTTGTGTCAGCCGTTCAACAAAGCCTTTCTGGAATGTTGTTGCTGCTGCTGCGATGAGTGCGGCTCAACTCGTTCTCCTGCTAGTGCCACCAGCGATATGGACGAGTGTGCCACCACGGAGCTGGAGTTGTCTCCATTCAGCACCATTCACAGGGAGCCCTCCACCTCTGCTGCCTACTCTGTTGTGGGGACACACTGCTGAGGTCAAAGGTTAAAGGGAAGCAGGGCGTTGTTATCAGAGACATGTTTGGGGTAGACGTAGACCCACAGTACCACGCTGCTTTTTCTGAGCAACCCAACAAGGTTGTGTCCATTCAGTGTTTACAGAGATGATATCTGTGAGAATACAGTCAGTATTAGTTCTTTATAAGTAGACTCAGCTTTTAATGACATCAGCAGTATTTCCACTGGAGCTTTCATCACCACTGAAAGCTGAAAGTTCTGCTCGTTGTTTCTGTTTAGTTCTCACAATATGAGAATACTGTTATAGATTCATGTGAATTTCTGAATCATAAAGTGATTTCTGTTTCTGACACCAACTGTGTCGTCTGAGTTTTCTACACTATGTTAGAAGCTTGGTTGGGTGATCAGGTCTTTGTTGTAACAGAGCTTCTTAGTAATGAGTCTCATCTCCTTAAAAGTGGAGTTGTTCCCCTTAGAGCCAGATTTGTAGTGATGAGGATTTTGTTGGTGCAACAGCAGATTTAGGTCTAGTCCACATGTAGCCGGTTTTTTTGAAAACGAATATCCGCCCCTCCAAAAACTTGCATCCACACCACCTCGTTTAAAAAAAAAACTCTGTCCACACGTACCCGGATAAATACGTTGTTAGGACATGCCAGACCTGTAGGCGGCAGTACTTCCCCCGTTCTTAACCTCGTCCTTCGTCTGTGGTCTTCCGCAAGGAGCAGTAATTCCACTTGCAAAAACAAACAAGCAAAAAGCGCTTGGACAATTGATAAAGCGAGTGCAGCTCTGAGGGCATCCATGCTGTCGGCTAGTGTAAACACAGGTCGCACACGTGATGTCAGCATTTTTTTGTCGTGGAAAGTGACGTTGCGGACCTTAAAACTCCGGTTTTGTCTGTCCACACGCAGACACCCAAAACGGAGAAAACGCAGATCTTCACTTTGGCCGGAGTTTTAAAAAAGATCCGTTTTCGTGTGAAAAAACTCCGTTTTCGTGTGGATGACAGGCCAAAACGTAGAAAAATATCTACGTTTTGGCAGATCCCCGGCTACGTGTGGACAGGGCCTTAGGGTTATGCAGGTTGCCATGGTGAAAACAACTACAACATCTGCTGTTTACTCTTGTTCGGTGCCATGAACTCGTTTGGTTGATCTGATGCTGTGTTGGTAATTTAACAGTTTTTTCATTCATTAAGCAGGAGCCCCAGTAGCATGCAGAAGAGCCTCCTCCTCCTCACCGGCTTCAAGTTGGTCCCATCCAGACCAGTCAAACGTGCCACGTGTGGAGTTCTGTTTGGATTACGATCGTCACTTAGCATCATTCTCCTAGCCTGGCCTGCCAGACTCCTCCTCTGTCTAATTCTGCACAGAGAAAGGGTCTAGGAACTCTCCAATTCAAATAACCCCGCCCCCTGAGAATTCTAACTGAGCCAATCAGCGTTGAGTAGCGTACATCATACAACAGAACGCCTTTCTTCTAAAAAATAAAAAAACGATGTTTGCACCATTGCCAGACGCGTTTCTTTACTACAGCTAAAAAACGACAATGTCGCACGGTTCAGTCGGCATTTCCTTCTTTATTCTGATTGGGTATTTTGAGCTGCCTAGTCCCGCCCCTCATGTGCCTCTCTGCCTGTGAGTTACCAGTCTGGCAGGTCAGGCTGTCATGCTGCACCTGAAAATCACCTGCATCAGTCACAGAAAAGAAATAGATGGCAAACGATCAAGTCAGAGAAAGCCAGTCGCCTCTCCATCACAGGGAACATTAGGTTTCATGGCCCCGCCCACCTTGGGAAGGAGAGAGGAGAACATGTCTTGCATGTCTCGCCTCTGTCAGTGCGCCCCAGGGCAGCTGTGGCTATATTGTAGCTCATCACCATCAGTGTGTGAATGAGTGTGTGAATGGATGAATGGTACACTGTAGTGTAAAGCGCTTTGGAGTCCTTACTCTGAGAGGCGCTATACAAGTGCGGGTCATTATCATTCATAAGTTTTGTTTTTTTGATTTTCCACAGAAAATGAGTCAAAAGGCACCAGAGCTTTCCCAACAGGTCAGGTGTGTCACCAAGAAGCAGCAAATGGAACAAACACACCTTTATTTAGGTGTGTGGCACATTTCCAAACAGAATCAGATCCCCTTGGCTGTTGCACGTCTCAGACTTTACCTAGCAACAAGATGAATGTTTTTCTGATTGGTTGATGGGTTAACTCAATGTTGGACTAAACCAACAACCACCTCACACTTGAGGTTTAGCTGTTTTGCTCATTCCACCTTTCATAGTCACACACCTAACATTTAAGATGAGTTTTCAGGCTTTCCCCCAAAAGGAGAACAATTGTGAAAAAGACACCGCTGCAACGAGAAAATAATCATCCACACATTTTCTCCATTTTTGGGTGTAAAGTTTAAATTGTTTTCATTTATTGACCCTTCTGTTGTTCCCATTTGTTTAATATTTTTCAGTTCTATCATCTTTTACATTTCATAACCGTTTGTCTTGTGCTCATTCACAATAACACAGATATACAATGTGTTTTGGCTGTTTAAACAAGTTTTCTGAAGTTTCAGAGATTAGATTTCTCTCGTGCAATAAACGCCCTTCTCAGTAATGTCTTGCCTCTGAAGAAACCCTTGTCCAAGAGAGTAAAGCATAAAGAAAAGATCGCTGTTCTGTCTCTCCAGAGGACAATAGCCGTGCTGTTTCACTGGCTCAGACTCAACATGACATTCTACTAACGCTGGCACATACCTCTGAGACCTGACCAGGATGCCTCCTGCAGCTGAATCAAGCTGAGATCACTTGAAAAATGTTTCTACTTTAGAGACAAAACTTTCGTTCCTCTCATAACATTTAGTTTGCTGTTTCACTCTCAGCCCTCAGCTGGTTTTGCCTCGCCATCATTTCGTCATCACTGCCACACAGCCAGGGGGGACACAGTTGCTCCTTTGTCTTTGTCAGCTGTTGCCATGATGACCCTGGGAGTGAACAGCGTTCCAGTGACACAAACAGAACATCAAGCCTCATTTAGTCTGGGACAAGCTGTTGCTGATTGCTTGGTCTGGTATCTGAAACAGCTGGCTGCTTGCTACCAGATGTGTTCACATGTAGACTGGAACGCTGCTGCTGTCTGGCACCAGAGGAGCTGCTGCAAGTCATTATAGCAGGACAGGAAAATACATGCTACTGCTGGATAGGTGACGCTCTGAACACTCTGAATATGAGTGGTATGTCCTGCTAGCAAGGACTTGCACAACTAGACTTTAGCAAAAAACACTTTAGACTTGGAAACCGGATGTGCCCTGAAGCTCATTGCTTTTGAGTTACTGACCATGTTATATTGTTTTGTTCATCATGAAAACCAACCCCAAAGCAGTTTTTGGTCTCACCCATTCATTTCCTGTCCTAGCTGTACATCGCCTGCTGGTCTACACAGTGGCCGAGGGAAGCTGGATGGGGTAGCTGACCCAGTCCTCCTCCTTGAATCCCGATCCCTCCTCCCCTGGACTGTAAACACTCCCAGTATCACCTTGAAGCTAGCGCAGAGTTTGATCTCCAAAGTGGTAAAGAAGCAATTTCTGTCTTATCTAGTCTGCACTTTTGTCTGCAAGAGGATCCCTGTCCAGTCTTCCTGAAGAGGAGATCAATCTACAGAAATGTTTAGATTTTATCTCCAGGAGATCTCAAAAACCGAGCCAGCATGTGACCGTGATTTCACCGAATGCTTGTTAAACCACAGCCGATATCAGAGTGGGCTTTCAGATGGATTACTTCTTCTAATCGGCACGATTCCAACATTAAAACCACCCAGGAAGTGTGTGTGTGTGTGGGGGGGGGGGGTGGGGGGTGGGGGGTGGGGGGTGGGGGGGGGTAAAGAATCTGCAGCAAGCATAGATCTGTTGTCAGATGCAGGGTTTCATCAGATCCAAGCACCTTATTTGCTGGTTGGAATTAATGGCTGACAAAAATAGCTAATATTTCTTAAAAATGACATCTAAATAGAACCAATGGTGACATTGTATCATATATTGTGCCTATCATTGCTCTGGAAGGTGTAAAGAAGCATGATGCAGGACCTTTAATAAAAGCATCCTGATATAGCACCAATCCTAATAATAAGATACGAACTAATTATTCAGTAAATTCTTAATTCAGTTATTTATTTATAAAGCACCTTCTACGACCCAATCAGAAGCCCATCATAAAATCATGTGATAAGAACAATTATGGTGTCGTGGAACATTAAAGATAAGAAAAATTAAAACAAGCATTAAACATTCAAACGAAATCGATTAAAAACATAAAATTAATACAAAAACATCTTAAATGAAATAGAAACAACAACAAATCCAGGTAATATTATGATCCCAATCACTGAAATGCCATCAGATAAAATTGTGTTCAAGCAAGACTTAATGACCTCAAGTGATGGTTCCTGCCTAACGCTTAAAGGCAACTCGTTCCAGAACATTGGATCCAGAACTGTAAATCCGCGATCCCCTCCTGATCTGTACTTGGAGCGGGTGACCACCAACAGCCCCTGCTCAGCCAAGCAAAGAAACCAGGATGGGACATGGCTATGTGGTGTTTCATTCTGGGCCTGGAGGGCCGGTATCCAGCACACTGTAATGGTTTCTGTGCTCCAACACACTTGATTCAGTGGTTGAATCATCTGTGCAGCAGCTCATCAAGCTCTACCAAAGCCTGTTAATCACCTGCTGACTGAAATCAGGTGTGTTGAAACAGAGTTAAAACTGAAATGTGCTGATACTGGCCCCCCAGGCCCAGAATTCAATACCCCTGGCCTATGTAGTCATGCTGACAGATGAGGGGGAGCATTGCCTTGACAAGTCTTGTACACTCGTAGCAGGAACTTGAATTTTGATTGGTACTGAACCGGGAGCCTAGCCTGACCAGCCAGCCCCATTCAAATAACCCCACCCCTTGAGAATTCTAACCGAGCCAATCAGCGCTGAGTAGCGTACATCACACACATGGTGTGTCTGAGTTTGTCATAAACAACGAAGATGGTGTTTGAAGCGGCGTTCGCTGTGGCTCTTTGCTCTGGTCTAAATGACTTGGACACGTCTTTAAAACCACAAGAAGAAGAAGCAATAAAAGCCTTTGGTCTAAAGAAAGATGTTTGCGCCGTCCCCAGACGCCATTTTTGACTACAGCTATAAAACTACAGTGCTGCGCAGTACAGTCGGCTTTTCCGCCTTTTTTTCTGATTGGTTATTTTTGAGCTGGCTAGTCCCACCCCTCACGTCGCTCTCTGCCTGTGAGAAACCAGACTAGTTATCTGTGCAGACTTAAACAGAGGACGAGTCTGGCGGGCCAGCCAGCAC